CTGTCTGGCAAGCGCACGCGCCCTATAGCGAAAACCTCTCCAAAAAATAAATAAATAAATAATTTAAAAAAATATTGTGTAAAATTACCTTCAGCCTAAATGTATAAAGTACATAGGAACCTAAAGGAGTTTCAACATTTACACTTGAGTTGGATTCCAAGCCCCAGATATCTCATTATGTATAATATGTAAAAAATTTCAAAATCCAAAGAAAACAAAAGAAAAGAAGAAATAATCTAAAACATATCTGGCCCCAAGGATTTAAGAAAAGGGATACTCAACCCATACATACTTTCCCATTCATTAAGATCTATTAAATCTTGGGGACAGCAGATGGCATACTGGTTACTCCACTGGACTCCCATATGGCTGACCATAGCTTGAGTCCTGGACCTGAAGACTTGAAAATCACACTGGGCATGTGTGCATGTGTGCCCAAGATCCCAGGCGGAAAAGGAAGGATACAGGATTGTGAGACAGTCATCCCCCCTTTGGGGTGATTTCTTACCTTCCCTCTCACTGTCTCTTTCTCTCTGGCAAGTACACACACCCTATAGCAAAAACCTATAAAACAATAAATCTATTATTCTTAAAAACAAACCCAGGAAGGTAGATATGCCATTATCCCCATTTTATAAATAAGAGAACAAATCACCGAGTGAGGTAAAAACCACAGGAAATAAATACATAAGGCAAATCAAAGTCCAGTGTTCACCTTAGCAGAACCTCAACAGCAATAGGGCTGTCTTTAAGCCCTGATTTAAGGAAAAGGAAATAGGAAAAGGTATAGGAAACTCTATTGCTTCTACTGGCCTTCACCAGAAAAATGGACACATGCTCTCAATTAGTTCACTGTCATCACCTCGACCCACCCATAATTCGTAGGGGTATTTCATTACTGCATGAGGGACCCATGAGTGAAGACTTGATCCTCTACAGCTGGAGGTTCTCCTTCAACACAGGAGTGTGTGCCTTGCCCTGTCTCCTCCTCCTCTTCCCTGAAGCAAACAGGGCAAGGCCCTGGAGTAATTGACGAATTCCAATGGAGTCACTGAGCCACTGTTCTTATCAGCAGGACCTCTACTCCTTAAGCCCCAGTAAAAAGATCTACCATAGAGACAGGGGGTCTGTTGTCATCATTGATGTTATTACTGTTTCAGCACTTGCACTTGAAAAACAAATCCCTTCCTTTGCCTTTCCTCTGATTATTCTTCTCCCATTGCTCCTTAGAGAAAACCAGGCAAGGAAAAAAAGTAAACATTCCAAAAGTGAAGACTTTCTGCTGAGTTCAGAGGAAAGGGAAAGTCCAAAACATATTAAAGACTTTCAGTGGATCCCTAGTGTCCCGTCCCGGGGGGACAGCCGAACGGGTTTCTTGAGTGAAGGAGTGAGAGCCAGGGCAAGCAGCGTAGTGTTACAGCACGGAGACGACAGTGTCGTCTGTTTATTGTGGGCAGCACGGTACAGCACAGAGACGACGCAGTGTCACAGCTCTTAAGGGTCGCGTCGTCTACTGTGAGCAGCACGGAGACGACGCGGTATCACAACTCTTCAGGGTTGTCCGGAGACGATGTAGTGTTACAGCTCTTCAGGGTCTCCCAGGTCGTCTGGAGACGATGCAGTGTCAGCTCTTCAGGATCTTCAGGGTCGTCTGGAGACTGCGCGGTGTTTCAACTCTTCAGGCTCTTCAGTTGTTGTCTTCCTGGTCATGGTCGTCGTCTCGGTCGTCGTCGTCGTCTGTGTCGTCTTCTCGGTCGTCTGTGTCGTCTGGCTACTGTGGGCCAGGCATCGTGGGTATATACACTCTGGTTGGGCGGTGGGCCGTGATTGGTTGTAAACAGTGGGCTGTGATTGGTTGCTTTTGGACCAATCATGAGGTGCCGGATATGCAAATTTGAGGGATTCTAGTGGCCAATCAGAGCAAGGTTTCGAAGGTCAGGTTTTTGGAAGGGAACCAATCATGGTAACTGTTTGCTCTCTGAGAAACCTCGGCAGACTCGCTGGTGCGCAGCCTCCCACACCCTAGACCACAGTTGTACATTACAGCGGGCTCCTAGGATGGGGCGGGCCTTCCTGGAGATGGCACTGCCTGTTTTCACTTTGCTGTCCAGGTGCTCTCCCCACCTTGGAGGCCCTTGGGGCAGTGTCGCACCTGCACCTGAAGACCAACAGCCCAGCTGCCCTCCCTCGCTTCTCTGATCTGTTGGGGACATGTCACTGTAAACCAAGGTGGGGAATTGGACCCGCGGTCTGCGACAGGTGTGGAGGGAGTCTCATGCGACTGTAAGAGTTAGCCACCTCCTAACTGCCCCAGGCACCACTTTCCACTCTGCTTCTCTTTTACTTTCCTCCTCTTCCTCCTTGCTTCCTTCCTCATCTAGACAAGTCCTGTTTTCTGGTTTTACTTAAATGTATCTTTGGAAATGTGGCTTCCACCCAAAGGCAGCCCCCGCCCCTCTCTGTAGGGATTTCAGAGGCCAGCTGTCCCTCTGTAAGTGCCAGAACTGCCAGGAGCCAGGAGCCCAGAGCTGGGTTTAAATCAAAGCCTGCACGTGTACCCTCCCAGCTCCTGCTCCTGGAGGCCTCCCTGCCCTCTCCTCCCCGCCCCAGGCTGTGGGGTGGCCGCCCGGCGCTGGTACCCTGATACTCCGGAGCATCCCCCAGATCCAGCCACCTGCCCCGCGCGGTGCCCTCTGTGTTCCCATCTCTTGGGGTCATGCCAGTCTTTCTGAAGAGCCCCTGGAGAAGGAGCTAGCCCCTACCACAGTGGCGATTGTCAGGAAGGAGACCAGAGCACAGAGTACAGCCCCCCCCCCCAGGGGTCTGTCTTTCCAGAGAAAGCTGGTCTCTGCCTGCTCCTACCCTCCTTGGCAGCTGTCAGTGAGCCCCTGCGCAGCCTGAGCTCCACCGCCCTCCTCTC